CTCCTGGCGCCCCGAGCCACTCCAGGGGATCGGTTCCTGGACACAGCCCTGCGTCTGCACGGCTGTGGCACGGGGATGCGGGGGCACCGGCACATCCCAATGCCCCAAGCCCAGGGTGGGGGACCCCCACCCCACAGCCCAGTTTGGCTTCTCCAGCCTCCTCCTCTCCCACCCTGGGACCCCACGGGCGCACCAATCGCGCTTCCATCGGGGCTGGAGGATCGGGACCCCTGGGCCGGCACTCATGGAAGCAGCTGTGGCCCCATCTGGCACTCCCGGCCGAGGGGCGGGAGAGGGCTCCCTGAAGCCCTGGGGAGGGGACCGGTCCTGCCGGGGCCAATGGGCACAGTGACAGGGCTGGTCCTGGCCCAGCACAGGCCACGGCAGCCAGTGCCATCCCTCATGTGGGGGGTCCTCGTCACCCCCACAGACACACGGCACAGTCTGGGGTGCGTGCACATATGTCCACAGCATCCATCCCCGGAGCCTTGAGCACTCGTACAGAGCAGCACCCTTTCCCCATCCCTGCCTGCACCCCGTCCCTGTGGCACCCACCCTGCCTGCACAAGCAAGGGGCCCCGTAGGCAGCGCAGGGAGGGAAGGGGAGCGGGCGGACCTCCTGCACCGGCACCCGGCAGCACCGCTGGCAGCGGCAGCAGGTTCACCCCGTGACTGGGTGCAGCCCAGTCCCCGGTTGCGGCATGGCCCATGCTGGGAGCGGGCGAGCGGGCCGGGGGCCAGGCCACCCACCGCGAGCTGGGAGTGAGCTGGGGAGGAGGCAGGGCAGGGAGAGCAGTGGGCCCGCAGCTGGGAGATGGGAGCCGGGGTGGGCGCAGAGAAGGGGAGCACCGGGAGAGCAGATGGCCGTGGCGTGCATGCCCGGGGTGGTGCAGGCAGCCGGGCTCTGCAGGATGGGGGTCACCGTCCACAGGGGCTGCAGCTTGCAGGGGGGGCAGTGGGATGCGCCACGCGATGCCACACTGCTCCCAGCGCAGGGACCCCAGCCCAGGGCACCGCGTGGGGCTGGGGCCGCGCATTCCCAGGCGGCGGCGGGGGGCGGGGCGGGGGAT